CCAACGAATAGTGGGATTGACCGTCACATTATAACGCCCCCACGGCTGAAAGGGCGAGCATGTTTGGTGGGACGGGGATTCGAACCTGCAACCCTCAGATTGCGAATCGAGCGCCTTATCCACCTGGCCTTTTCAATAAATAATAAGTTATTTTCACACAAGTTTTTATCGTTTGTACCAATTAAACTTGTTTATTTTATTCACAAAGTTTTAGGTTTACCTGGCATAATCAGGTGAAATACAAACTAATTGTAGAACTTGCACTCAGAGAAATAAAACTTATTTTCATTATGTGGGTTGTTATTTATTTTTCCAAGCAATCCAAAAGAATCTACTAAAAAACCAAACCATTATGTCAGTATATTGGACTCTTCAGTGAAAGGTAATGGGGGTATTGACAGCATGTGGGCTTAGTCATTGGGTTCGACTTTTCACTCGTTACAAAGAAATTTATTTGGTTTTTGCGAGCAGACCACACAAGCCATCAACTTCAGTAAGTTTACATGTGGAATAAAGAACTCACACAGAGACAACTGAATACAAATCAAATAGCTTTTTTAGTTATACACTGTTGAGCATTTCATCTACATCGAAATTCAAAAGTTATCTGGAAATAACATTAAATCATTGAATTCTTCGTTTTGAAGATATAAGTGTTCATCAATAAGGCCTATTATGTTCAGTAACGTAAATACAACATTACTTATGAATTAAATTAACACAAGAAATCCTCTCGGTCTTAATCTGTATAACTGTATTAACAATTCTTCTAAGATATCATTATGTAATTCTACTTTAAGCATTTTCAAATCTATTATTTCTTTTGCACAGTTAATGTTTTTCGCTTTTTCTCTCTGTATACATTATTGAACCTTAAGTGAAACACTTAATACTAGTCTTAAGAGTAGATAAGAAAAGGCATACTTAAAAGGAGTTTGTGTGGTGAACTTATTGTAGATTCTGGATTACTGTCATCTTCCGGTTTCTGGAGCGAGAACAATATCCTGGAGCAACTTCACAAGTGCAGAAAAGTGATATTTAGAGTCGGAAACACGGAATTATGTACATAATTGTAGTGTTTTCCCGATTGTTCAAGAATTTTATCAGGTCTACTTTTAAAAGTAGTTCTTTTAACTCGATTGGTGCAAATGAGATCTTTCATAAACAAGTGGACTATTCCATCAGACTGTAGCCAAAATCCACTTTGTTATTGGTCATTAACTTATTTCTGTCCCTTATTTAATATCCTTGACGAAATCGTCCAAGACAATTAAGTTAAAGTGTATAGTGACAAATTATGTAACTCATGTCTTTTCACTAAGATTAATTCACTCGGTTATTTGCCTTGCTGATCTGTTTTTTAGTGACATTGATTCATTTCATCAGAAGCTTTGTCTAAGCAATTATGGTTTTATTTCAATATACCACATCTGTCTGGCTCCTAGAGTCTGTAGCTATGCATTTTTTCGCCTCTAAAGCCAAGACACTAAATGTGTCTTTAGCTAACTCCTGCAAGAGGCCTCAAACTTGTATCTTCCTTATTTGCTAGTGTGGTTCACTAATGTCCAAGTTTTTTATAACGTTTTAGATCTACTGCTGTCTCCAGACTACACATTGTATACATTAAAAAATAGAATGTAGTTCTTGAAAACCTTTAAATATGAATATTCTGAGTATTTGTATTCCACAAATACTTCAGAAAGCTGCTTATTTAAGATTCAGCTTCCACGTTTTGAAGACATATACATGAAAGAATTTTAAAGCAATCTGAACATTTTTTCTGACACAAGTTTTCAAAAACGAATTGCTAAAGTACGTCCAAATAAAATTATTACAATATACCAAAAACAGTAACAACATGCAAACTATATAAGTGTTTTCAAAATATAATTTAATAATTTTAGAGTTAAGAAGGTGACAGAAAATCATTTTGCACATCAAGGTCACTAATGAATTTCTTTAATCTCAATGGCTCTAAACTGCCTTTTTTGCTATTGATCCATAACATTTTAGAAGAAATCTTAAAATATTCTCATTCAACAAAAAAATGACAGTTTGTCAGCTAGAACATCCTAAAGAGTAAATAATAAATGAAAAATGTTCGTTTGCCTAAAAACCTAGGAGTAAACAAAATGTTAATAATGCTATGCATTATTTGTTATACATGTTAGTTATGAAAATCGAATTCCAAAAAAAAAGACATTGTTAATTAAATTGTGTATACGACACAGTCATAGTTCTTTTATCATAAACTTTCTTAAGAAATTATTAATGTATATTGTTACGTATCTGCTTGTTTGATAATTTCCGGTAAAATTCTTTCCGAGGAGCTTCAGCGATACAAGTCCTTTCTTAATTAAAACTAGTTTATTCTTTCTCGATACAAACTTTTGATACACATTAATTCCACAGTCAATACATTTTATATTACCATCACTACTGTTCGCTTCTTTAATTATCTATCTATCTATCTCTAGCTCTATATATATGGCTGGCTTTCTTTGCCAGGCTTATATACTAAAAAAGAGGGCGTCTAGCAAACACTCGAACATTCGCGGGATTCCTCGATAATTCGAGAAACTCCAGCGCGCATGCTCCCAGCATCACGTGACTTCCGCTGTCGTAGCACCGCCCCTTCCTTAGTATTGTTCGTTCCGAACAATAGCCACTTAGATTAAACCAATAGCTAATTAACAATAACTAATTAAATGTACAGAATTTTCAAACACAAAATTAAAATACAACAAAGTCTCTTCATTTTACTGGACGTTTCTTCTTTCTTATTGATCTCCGTCTCATTGGCTTCTACTTCATGTGGGATTCATCTGCTCCGTCAGGAAATGTCCCATTATCGGTAGCAATCACATTAGTGGTAGTAACTTCATTAACTCTCAAGACAAATTTACATGCTAATGGAACTGTGACTAGCATACAAGTAAACTTACTTATACAATTTCATGGGTAATAAATCTAGTAACTAACACTAAGGACGGATACAGGCCGGGCGACTCCCCCCCCCCTCTCCCGTTTTGAAAAAAAAATCAAAATAATTGCAAAAATTGGATCTTTGAGGAGGGAAGAATATTGTGAAATTTCATATTCAATTCAAGAAAAATAAAAAAGCAATAACAACAACATTTAGCAAACATTATAACAAATCTAAATAACATATTTAACCCATACAAGGGAAGTTCCGAAAATTCCTCGTTTTCGTTCAGAATCATCGCGCATCCCCGTTTTCAAAATCCTGGATCCGCCACTGAACACTGACCTATATATTTCACCAACAAACTGATAACTAAACACTTCACTGAACGACTGGTACTCTAGTAACTGAAAAACGCAGTCAATGTTTCTCTGCTTCTGATATTTATAATGTAGCCTTGTTTCTAAATACTTTCCAAAATTAAGCCGCTCAACCACTAAAATTCAAATATTCTAGGTATTCTCGGACTACTTTTATAAAATTACTTGATATTAACATCATGCACTTTCTAGCTAACATCTAAACATTGAAATTATGTCTTACAATAATATGATTCGCCAACAGAAAAGATAGCTTTCTATTTCTGGATGTCACATGCTGTCTTTCCTATAAGTAACTCTGTTAACTGCACTTAGTTAACTAATATCATGTATGTACCAAAACAAGGAGAGTTGAAGCATCTGCTTTGGACATTATGTGTCCAAACTGAAAACTCCGAAAAAAAAAACAAAAAAGAAAAACAGTATAGTTTCAGAAAATGTATAACTTATTGATCTTAAGTATCTGGATAGTAAACACATGGTGCCATCCTATACAGTTATTGAATCCGCGGTCGCTCGCACTAAATATTCAACATGAATAAAAACGCAGAGGTGAATTCCTATTTCACAATCTTCATTAAATAGTGTTTATTATTATCTGTTTATAACAGCAGAATATGAATCGAAAATGACATGGTGTCTTTCTGATTCAGTTTCATTTTTGTAGTATTATTTTTAGTACAAAAGCCTTCAAAACGCAGATCAACAGTTCAAATAGCTTTAGAGCTAATTTTAAGTGTAGTTTTTTTTTCAGAAGAGGGTTAGAAAGGTAAACAGTTTGAAACTAATATTCTAGGAGTCTAAAATAAAAAAAACTGGTTATACACAATCCTTACACTTGTTTTAAACTTTAAGAATGTTTGAAATTCAAAATTAATACATTCATCGCTACAGCCACATCTAGTGTATCACTGCTACGTAAAATAAAGTGCCAAAATTTATGTTATTGCATTGATCAATAAGAAAAAAAAATTATTTTCGAAAACATAGTAATATTTATTTATTGATTAATTGGTGCACAAAAAAATTACAACTTTAATGTAATTATTTCGAAGGATACATAAACACATACGTTGATAAGTGTGAGCTTAACTAAAGCTTCAGTGTAGGTATAAATTATTGTGCGTGTGTCAAGTTAATTGTTAAGCCTAATGACAAGTGAATGTGTCACTGCTTACTTAATGCCAAATATATATATGTATATATATATTTTTTTTATGTAAACGAAATGAAGAATAATTTTATACATCTGATAGAGTATAATTAACACATTAATACGGATTGTATTGTAATATTCGAGCGACTGTTATATCCCGAACCCAGAAAGAGGAAAGTTCGTTTGAAAACAAGGTGAAGTAAAACTTAAGTTGCATGGCATTGTTAATCATTTAATGTTAGTGTTACTGAGTGATGTGATGAGTTGCATGTGCCAGTGATGTGGTGTGAGTGAAAAACTTGAATTCCAAAGAATGCTTAGGCTAATACTAGTACTAGTAGTAATAATGAAAAATAAAGCTAAACTGCTTGCCTATAAGAACGTAAATACCCTGGGGGCTAACCTGTATGTAGCCATGGTGTAAATTCACTGAATTTAAGTATAATTTATAACTATAACTTAGTATAAGGTTATGAGGTATTGTTATAATTTACATAAATTATGAGTTAAGGTGAGGACAAATTTAAAAAGTGATCCAGATCCTATACCATAACCGTAGGAATTAATAAGGCTGCAACAGTGCAAGTGCAATCACAAGTGTGTGTGGTGATACTGATAAGGTTTGTTTGATAATGGTAATTTGTATTAATAAACCCAATTACAGGTATGCAAGAAAGTCCACATTTTAGTCAGGCTATAGCCCTACTATTACTAAAGTACCAAACTAGTAGGTTCTTATAACCTATAATCTAGCTTTTAACTATAATATTAATAGTTTAAAGAGACTTCATAAATCTCAGACTTGAAATGTTGAATAACCTGCTTTAAGACTTTACTGTCCTCAGCAATATCAAAGTTTTGTTATAAAGTAACTAATATTTCTTCAAAAATGTAATAAGTTTGGAAAGGATATATTGATGGAACTATAAAAATTAGAATAATTTATTTCAGGCATGTAGCAAACTGTGCAGTTTGAATCTTTTACAGTAAAAATATGCTCTGCACTTGTAGTTTAATTTTGCCTAATTGAGGACACTGCTTCAAAATTGGACAACTTACTGTTCCCAGAGTTATATTACTTTAGATTCTACTTTTAGTACTAAAGACTAGATGTGGAGGATAATTTGTTTACTAGTATACTATAAATTAAGGAACACAATCTTTTTGTAATGGGTATTATAACTAATTATGCTAGTAATGTCAAATCTAAGGAATTAGCAACCAGGTGTAAAATTGCTTTATAACCATCAACTAGCTATCAGATGAGAGTGTTTATACACAAGACCATCAAATACCATGTGAAATTACTAAAGACATCACTGTTGTATAGTTTCAGCATTACTAACTGTATACATACCACTACAGAGCAGGAATACATGATTGATCATTAACAATGAGATTAACTTTTCAGGAGGCTTTATAGACAAGCATATTTTTACATTTTAGTATTTTCATACAAGCTTACCAATTTCAAGCCAGTTGGACTTCTAATTATTTTTCTTATGGCTTAGTAAAGTGAAGGAGAATATACATCTGCAAACTAACTCCATATACTTTCTACTGTGGCATAAAGTTAGGTTAGTTCTGCTATTTCAGGGCTGAAAAGCCATTTATTGTTCACAATCCCTAATTTTACAAGAGTTTTGAACACTAAGTGACCAAGAACTGATAGTGGCCATTATTATGAACAATTTTTGTCAAGTAATAAATATAGTACTGAATACATTTTCCCATAATAATGTCCTCTCGTGTATAATGCAACTTATCATTTTATTGTCCAACAATGCCCATAGTATTAAAGAATGCCACACAAGTGAATTGGAATTGACTGAGACAAAAATTTTTATGGCTACATAATGTTTTGACTAAGAGTTTGAAAGGTGATATAAAAGTACATCTTGGAAAAGCTGAAAATAAGTAACCTGGAATCAGTTCATGAACAGAAAAAAATTGTCTTAGGTACAGAAATTGTAAGTGAAAATGTCGTAACTAAATTAGTGTTGTATTTTTTATTATTTCTATTTCTAAATTTCTTGTTTCTAAACACTTTTACACTAGTGCATTATTTGTTAATTATATACATGTAAGATATGTTTATGTATATTTATTTATACATTATAAATACATATTTCTGTGATCCATTATAAATATAAATATTGTATTCTTAATTATACACAAATACATTGACAAAGTATTATATTAGAAGAATTCATATTTCAAAATAATTATCAAAGAAATACCATGATGTTGCTCATCCTAGTTGTTTTATGTGGGAACAGAAACTATGCTGAACATAATCACAAAATTAAGATAACATACATCTTTGATTTTGGTGTATTACTCACTGATAATAGCATAACAATAATTCACAAATAAGTGTCACACATATGCCTGATTTACTAAATAGTGTCATTTCTAAAGAAAATTGAGGGGTTGTGATTTAATATTCAGTTACTCTTTTTCTAGTCAGCAGTTCAGAATTAGTGACAGTGGCAGATAGTGTTAGTAGCTTTGCTATAACAAAGACTTGGTAAGCATGTTTGGTGGCATTGGGAATCAAACCTGAGACCCCCCCAAATTTTAAGAAACCTCCTCTCCCACCAAAGCTGAACAAATTTGAAGGAAAGAAAAAGTTACAAGGATTAAATTGAGCAGAGAATAAATAACCAATTATTGAAATATTTTGATTATCAGATAGTTCGAATAATCTTAAATAGTAATAATCAAAATCCTTTTTTCAGTTAGTTGATTATTTTTGTGACAATTGATGTAATCAGAATTTTGACTGATTATTGGAATAATTGAAAACACTAGTTTTAACTGATCAACTAGTTTATGTGACACTAATCAATGTAATCACTTCTCACAGATAATTGATTAATTCTGAGGTGATACACTCCTCTTCACACAGAAAGTTATCTTCACTGTGTGTCTGCCTTAGTGATTTGCATGCCACTAGCCTTAAGGCAACTTCCACCTAAACTCATGAGATTTCTCATGAATTGTGTTACTGCATAATAATGTTACTATGCAGCAAAAGCCCTTCACCTGTAAGATGGTGACATAGCCTCCCTGTGTACTAGCCCCCTCTATAATTTTGCACTTATAATCATTCTATTCCTCAGCACTGAACACATCAGCTTCTGCAGACACTAGTATTCATGCCTTTCTGCATTCTGCATGTGAGGTTTATTGTTTGATGACCATGGCTTTATGGGGACTGCTCTCTTTAGGTCAAACACACATATGTACCTTCTTTGTTGGTTCTTGCACTACCAGAGGTATGCTTCACAGGATTCTTGGATGTTGGTGATTCTCATGTTCCTTCTTTTATTCTATTGTTTGTATTGATGGTGGGATAAATCCACTATCACCCTCTGTGTTCCATTACTTCCACCTACAACAGTCTTATACTTCTTCACCTGTGTTCCCCCTATTGTTGGGAGATCCCTGATTGTTAATTTTACTTCTGGTACATAGACCTTAGACAAGTCCTCTCCATATCCCTGAGCTTGAACTTCCAGTAGACCAGTGGGCATGATCCCATTATTATCTCTTAGGGGATCATTTTGTTATATTCTTTTCCAACAACTCCTTAGCTTCCAAAAGTGAATACTTTTTAAAGTAATCTTGACAACTGTTGGATATAGAAAACTGTTTAGTGTATGTATTATTAACTTACTTATCTTGTGAGTTAACATTTATTGAATGTTTAGTTTTTCATAACAAGAGAATTAAAAGTAATTAATTTAAAGGCGATAGTTATGACAAGTTTGGTTACATAACTTGATAAGTGTATTACATTGTATTTGCAATTCATTGTTGTTGAGATTTAACTAATGTTGTTGACATCACATAACTCAAATCTTTATTTTTCAAGACTTCAGTGAATAAGGTATTTTTTATAAGTGGCATGTGTGTGCAAGTTAATAATAATAAGAGAGAACTAAAGAAGAAACATTCAGTTAGAAAATGTGAACTTAGCTGATGTGTGAGTGATTAGCTTTAACAGGTGATTTTTTTAAAATGAGTTTCACAGTTTAATAGAGATAAGGAGATTTGTCTTGTCAGAGGGTGTTCTAAAGTAATTGAACCCACCTATGTGGACTTTGACAAAAAAAAAGACAATTATTTGGAGTTCAGGATACAACTGTGGTAACTCGCAGGGTAGTGTAAGTGAATTATTCACCAATATTTTTGTGATAGGAGTAGAGAAAAATAGTTTGTTTTGTCAATTGGATTGTAAAGTAATTGAATCAGCTTGAGTGGACTTTTGACAAGAAAAAGAGAACTATTTAGTGATTAAGATGCAACTGTGATATCCATAGTGTAAAGAATTGTTGTACACACGTTTAACTTTTTTTGAATATATTATTTCAAAACAAGTGGAGTGTGTGCTGTCTGTTTATTGTTGAATTTATCTCCAAAAAGTCACAAACACCTACTGTAGAAGAATCTTTAGCCCACTTATTACATAAAACCCTGACAACAACAAAGCACATGTTACAATTAATGAGACACTTTATCAAATGAAAATTTTAGACTTGTGACAATTTTCTTGACAGAAAATTTAAGGAATCTCTTTTGATTCAATCCAGATGCTCTTCCATTAACAGGTACATTGCCTGGCCCCTATAATACTTTTTAAAATTTTTTCTTTTTTAACTTTTACCATTATGATCAGTGATTCTAACCCATTTAACAATACTATGAGCATGCTTCATATGTACTGTACCCTTATATTGTTGTAGTTCTATTTTCTTTTTGGTTACTTTAACTGAAAATCAGCTTGGTACCTGTGACATTCATTGACCCTTGAAAATGGCATAAGCCAAAATGCTGGGTTGAATAAGTTTTATCTGAAGTTGTTTGTCATCTTCATTGAGAATAGAAATTCACCCACACAACTAAATATATAATACTAAGACCACCCAATAAATTGTCAAACATTTTAATACTTTTGTGGTTTAATTTCCCATTTGCCTTTACCGTATGTTTATACTGCATTGTCAGTGTAGAATAGGCATCCCGCACATGCCTAAGATTATCTATTTTTCACACGGAAACTTTTTCTTGAGACACAGATGGGGTGATTTTATCTAATCAGAGATACCTTATACTGTATTGCTGGTGTAGAATAGGCATCCCACACATGCCTAAGGTTGTTTATTTTTTTGAGGGAACTTTTTCTTGAGACACTGAAGGGGTAATTTTATCCAATAAGAGATAGCTTATACTGCATTGCCAGTGTAGAATAGGCATCCTGCACATGGCTAAGATTATCTGTATTTTATGTGGGAACTTTTTCTTGATACACCGAAGGGGTAATTTTATCTGATCAGAGATAGCCTGATTTATGTCAAATTTGAGTTCTGTAAACCTGGCATCCGAGGCTCCAAGAAAACAAAATTCAAAAGAAATGAAAGCAATATCGTCTTTTTTCCTGCCAGTCCCAGAAAAGAACAATAATGATAATGATCCAGGCATGCAGGAAAAGAAGTTTGATCATGACCACTCAAGAACTATTAAGGCTTAATGGTTCGTGATTACACCGTGATTTTGTCATAGCTTTTCTTTCATACAGACCAGTGCATGCTTAGTACAATTTTACAGTATTGAAGATTATTGCCAGTGCAAATGCTACAAACTTGTAGTCATTTAGTTTATGTCTAGTCTTGTTCTTGTATTAATTCACCACGTAAAAAAGTTCTTGAAAATAAGACTTCTTGTCTTTTATATATATATTATGTAGTATAAATGTTAATGGTGTGGTTGATTTGATAACAGATGCCTCAATGTTATCATTCTTACATTCACAGCTTCAATATACCCACTAACACAAGTTTAATACTTTAAGTGGTGTGGCTAATACAGATTTCATTCCATTAGCCACAGTGGCTAAAAGATTTATGTGATAAGAATGAAAAGAATTTCATACCCTGCCCCTTCCATCTTGTAACAATTTTTCACAGGTTGTTTACTCCCTTGCCATGTCCTGGGTACTCTGAACCAGGCTGCAGACTGCCTTTCTTGGCCAGAGCAGGATTTGCCCACTGACTCTCTTCTCCTCCAGTTTCCTATATGGGGGTGATCTCTTGGGGGACTCCACTCATCATTGCCTAGTCAACTTCTCTCTTTCATGCTTCCTCTCTTCCAATCATCTGTTCTCCATCCATTGGCCCTGTCTGTAGCTGCCTTCTGCCTGATCTGGTCTTACACTTGTCCTAATGGTCACCTACCTTACCAGCCTTTACCTTGGATTCTGGTCTCGACTGGAGACATTCTTTGTTGTTTCCTCTTGATTGTACCCCTCTAACTAACTGACAACCCAATCCCCTCATCCTTTGCCAATTATATTCTCTATTGTTTCAACATCTCCCATTTCCTTTCACCTTCATGTCTGGATTAGTCCGGTCCATCGGCTGTTGAACCAGAATTTCCCATCTGGTAATCCTATCATTTCCCATTCTGGGCATTATTCTACTTATTCCTTCTCCCTGTATGGGGACCCAACTTTCGATGTTGGTCCATCTGTTTCCAACTTATTCCTATTCATTCTACCATTGGACATCTCCCTTCCCTTTACTAGGCTGTATTACAGGGTTCAGCTGTCTCTGCCTTTGCCAGTTATTGGGCTGCCTTGTCTACATCATTTTGCCTTCTCAGTACTGCAAGGTGTTCCTCCCTTGTTCTGATCTTTCTTATCCATAGACAGTGTTGCTCTGTTCCTCTGCTCAACCGGGACCTCAGTGACATCCTTCATGTTCTTATCCATGTCCATTTGAGCCATTGGCAACTGCCTTCTCTTTCAACATATTACTCTTTCTTTTCTCTTGTGATCACTGTTGTTCAAATCATTATGCTAATGACTCATCCTGTACCCTTTTTATTGTGTTAATATTCTTCTTACTCAAAACCGGTTTTCAAAATTTGAAATATATAATGTTTCTTTTTTTTTACTAATTGTGAAAATAAAAAGGCTTTTACTTATACTTCTTAATAGTATAAATATATACTGTGTTGTTGTTGTTGGGCTTAGGATTCTTCTACAGTAGGTGTCTGTGACTTGTCATCAATAAATTGAATGATAAATGAACAACACTTCACTTGTTTTCAAAGTAATATATATATACATATATATATATTCCAAAAAAGTTAAATGTATGTACAACAAATTCTTCACACTATAGAGATTATAGGCATATCATAAACACTATATGTATAGTTCTCTTCTTCTTGTCAACAGTCCACTTAGGCCTATTCAATCAATTTAAAATTTCAGTTAACAAGCCGAACTGTCTTCTCTATTACTATCACACTAGTATTCTTTACAATTGTGGTGCAAGTTACCATAATCGTTTGGTCTTCTTTCTTCTGAAGATCCTCTGTTCCTTTTGTCGAAGTGCACTCTTGTTGACCATAAGTTTTATATTAACTAGTCATGTTTCAAATGATTTCCATAAAAAAGTTACAAAGCCCTTGTAATGATGCTAAGCTAGTATTTATTACGCTGTGAGTAAAAGGGCCTAAACATATTGACAGTAAGATTTTAAGTATTTGTTTTTAAATTGAATAAACATACTCCACATATCCAATATTGAATTTTGATTGGGTAGTTTATGTTAATTTGAAAAATGGTAGTTCAGGCATTAGCACTCTGTCATGGACAGATATGAGGAAACAATTCTGTGGTAAGTATTTGTATCTCCACAGCAGATACAATTACAAAATAATTGTGTGCATTATATTTTAGTACACTCTACTATTTATTAACAGTTTCTAATACATATATTTACAAAGAAAAGTACAAAAAAAATTATCAAACATTTAAGAATAGTCTGGTCACAGAATATAGTTGATGTTACCATAAAGTACACTTAAAACAATGACAAATGTAATTCATAACTGCAGTACCAGTTTTCTTTGAATAATGTTATAATGTTTCTAGTTGTAATCATTCATGCCATGCAATATTTTAAAAACTACACTTTTCATTGCAGCATTCAATAGCTACACTTTTGCGGAACAAGCTGTACCACTTTCATTATTCGGTTGACTTTCCCCAAACGTGTACAACATAACGTCCTTCTCACTGGACAATTGTCATTATTGCAGCCATTTTCCTGGATAGCATCAACACATCAGTTTTCAGGTACCACACGTCACTTTTGTTAAGGGCCTTGTTGGTTAATCAGTTGCGTAACTGGTTAGGCCTGTCAAACAGATGCTCATATAAACATTCAATAAACAAGTACCACAACTTATTAATTATCTACTTGTTTATCACCACATGTCTGTGACAACATTTCTATATCTTCAGACATTATAAAAAATGCATAATTTTTCAATGCTAATTTCCACCTAACATTTTCCTGTTGTTTATTTAGAATTTTACAAACTACCAAATCTTACTGCTAGTTAATATACTTATATAACAAGTGTCTATACACTCTGTACAAACTTAACAGAAAGTGTACTTTTTAATGCTTTTGTGGTTTAATTTTAGTTTAGCAAGACTATATTATACCATTATGATGATTGTGAGACCAGATAGTAACTTTAATGATTGTTAATAATTGCTCAGTGGTTTTATGGGAAAAAACTGACACCAGCCATGGTCATACTAATAACTAAGACATCCATAAGATTTAAGCAAACTGATGGTTTTTAATACTTGTGACATCAACAATTCAGCTGTGTCTATTATCCTTAGAATGTTTACCCATAAGTGAAATGCGACACACCACAGAAGCTCTGACATTTCTGTCACTATAATAACTAAAACTGCATGGCCTTAACACAGTTGTCTGCCACTTTCAACTTATTTCCTCGTGTAACAGGCATGTTACACACTGTTCATATGTTGACTCCTCTCACATGTGCTTCTTATTCTGCCCTTTGTAGTAGGTTACAAAAAAGACCTCTACCAAACCCTTTGCTTACTATTGACAAAAAAAAAAGTAAAACAATTGATGGAGTATTCAGCTCTTGACATTATCATTGTTACTTAGAATATCAAATGGCCTGAAATTGAGTTAACTGATAATTTAAATTTAGAAGTTAAATTGTACTTTAGATTTAGCAGTTAAGTAAAAGCCAATATATAGTCAGTTTATATTTGCCAACAAGATTGATACACACAGTTTTCTTTTTTAACACAAATATGTTTTAATACAATTCACAATTACAGTTATTACAAATCATTATTACAAACAATGATTTATAAACAAAAATTTCACAAACAAGCAATATAAGATATTCTTTCTAGTTTGGAACTTCTTGATATCTTATTGAGGGTTCACGATGAGCGAGTTAATTGTGAGTTGATGTATGTACAATTTGCTTGGAAGCTAGCTAGCTTTGTCCTTTGCCACACACACTGAGTTTTCCACCGTTGAAGTTGGGTAATGTTTTTATAAAATATTAATGTTCCATGAGAATCCATTGAAGTTAAATGAGTTGTAATGTTCAAACTTTATAAATGTTCCTGGTCAATATATCTGAAGTTCCCTATTGGTAAGAGTTATAACAATCACAGTTATAGCTTCCGAAGTTTTATAGCGAACTAATAATAGACACTCTTTTTGGCGCATCGCATTGGTTATATTTATAGGCGTTGGAAGATTTTCTAAAAAATTCAGATTACGTAACAATGCAAATTAAAGCATTTACGTGCACACACATACTTTTGATTCTTACTCTCGAGAATCTTCTACAACTTTGGAGAATAAGCTGGAGTTTCACAATACATATTTAAAGCTATAAGCTATGTATGTTTTTAAATGTAAATGTAATCTAAACAAATGTTGATATTAAAATAAATATATAATAACAAATTCATTACAACATATACTAGTATTTAGTGAAATGGCCATGTACAACAGGTTATCAAAATAAAAAATATAAATACGACTGTGACAGATACTCTTTATTGAATTTGATTTTACAGTTGTTGAGTACTGATCATGTAATGTGTAGTGATGCAGAATGGATTGGATATATAAAATTGCTTTTATAGTACTGGATGGAACATTACATTGCAAAAATATTACTTGAGAAGATCAAAAAAGAAAATGGTTCCATCCATAACTTTTTTTGTTTTTCATTTCAGGTAAAATACGTCTTTTACAAAAAGGTCACCTTTGGTGCTTACACTACTCTTCAAACATGTCTGGTCTGAACAGTCTTTTCTCATTCACAAGTCCTGCTGTAAAGAAACTCTTGGGTTGGAAACAAGGTGATGAAGAAGAAAAATGGGCAGAAAAAGCTGTAGATTCATTAGTGAAGAAACTGAAAAAAAAGAAAGGTGCAATTGAAGAACTAGAAAAAGCATTAAGCTGTCCGGGACAGCTAAGTAAATGTGTGACTATTCCTCGTTCTTTAGATGGTAGGCTGCAGGTGAGTAGTTTTTCAGTTTTTTTTTCATGTGTTAGCAAAGATGAGAAAACTAATGCTGTATCAGTGATTGAATAACAGGTTTAATTTCAATCCTCTTTAGTTAATTGAGTTTTCATTGTAAAACAGTTTGAAATTTATATATTTTTTGTAGAAAATTATTACACAGAATAGTTAACTGTTCCAAAATTATGTAGTGCGTAAATCTGTTGTAAAGTTTTTTGTGGGTGCTGGGTGAAGTTTTGATCTCTTTAATACAAGGAATGATATTAGCATGTTAGAGTGCAAAGATATGCAACAAAAAATAACTTTAAAATGATTAAAGCAGTGATGAAAAACTTAGGCTTTTGGTCTTGTTTTTTATTTTTTATTATTGTTTTTGAGCACAGAATAATTAGGAGGTAGACTTAGTTCAAGTTTTCTAGTTTGTTAGGGAATTTGTACAGACTCATTCTTAGATAAAAAAAAAAATTTAAGAGTTATAACTTTGTGGAATGGTTTACTTGATGATGATGTTTTTCTATAGGTTCAAGTACTTTAAAAATTCTGTTTGATAAATATATCAGACCTCTTTGTGAAACTTATAAAATCATTATATTTGTTCACATCTCTTGTTTCCTTTATTTTTGCTCAGAATAGGCAAAAAAAAAGTTTAAATTTGAAGGTAAACCTATAACATTATCCAAAAATATTACTGCAAAATTTTATTCCAAAACAATTACCTCTTCTCACACTACAGCTATTACTTGAATGCTAGGGTTTCCTTCCTTTGCACATCTAAGCATTGGTCTAAATTTTTCATACTTGCTCCAGTCTTTTATTATCTGTCATATTACACTCTCCATCTACGTCAATGCGCCCCTCTATCATGGGTACTGTATATAAGCACCTCATTCAGATAATATTATCACTTATTCTTAACAAAGTGTTCACTAACAGGTTTCTCTGTACTATGACCATTGGAGATACTTTGAGTGTTCTTTGTGTTACCTAGTTGATTTTCATTTAGCAAGCCAATCTATGGTTTTTCTTATCCCACTTTTGATATGTAGTATTGCTCAACAACTTGTGGGAGGAGGGAATCACTCTCAGCTGAGACTGTCAGTGACCTTATTTGTAGTGAGATTGAGACACATATTTGGTCCAGTGGTGTTTTTCTGGGGGGCTCTGAGGCTGCGTTTGATTGTCAGCTTCTGCATTCATCCCTGTTGTTGTTGATGTCTCAACTTTCCCCGGCTCCTACAGAGGGTCATAGTTTAGCTCATTTGAGGGTCCCAACCCCTGACATCAGCTCCTCAGTCCATTCATACCTAGAATAGATTCTGTCCATATCCAGGAGGTTTCTCTGCTTGGTCAGAATGCCACTAGCAGCAGCGGTGTCTATTGTATGCCTTTGAGGTTTTTGGGGGCTTGGCTTTGAGAATTTCTGGATGTGTGGAAAACCGTAACCATGGATCAATGGTCACTGCAGGTTCTTAAGTCAGGAATAGTCATTCAGTTTACATCTTCACCACCATTATCCACCCAATCTATAGTGTTTCTGCCTCCTGTAGATACTTGAATTATAGGAACTTTTTTCTAGGGCTATCAGAGTTTTGTTGGTCTCTGGGATGGTGGAGAGAGTTGTGCCAGTTCTTCCAAACTTTTATTCCTCCATCTGTAGGATTCGATGTTGCTGACTTCTATCTGTAAATTTCCATGGTGGCAGCATCCTGTCACTATCTATGTTTTGTGCATAAGGGTCAGGTGCTGCAGTTTTATTCCTCAGTTTGTAGGATTCAATGTTGCTGACTTCTATCTGTACATTTCCATGGCGGCAACATCCTGTCACTATCTACGTTTTGTGCATAAGGGTCAGGTGCTGCAGTTCATGGCTTTACCCTTCGGACTAGCATCAGCACCGTTTATGTTTTCCCGAATCATACAAGTTTTTTCTTGTCATCTCCTTTCCTTAGACTTGTGCACACACCATTCTATGGACAACTGGTTACTGCTGGCACCATCTCATCAGTTGGAGTAATGTCACACCCAGATTCTACTTTCAGAAGCAAACAAGGTAGGCTCCATTATTAGAGCTGAGAAATCTGTTCTCACTCCAACACAAAATATTGTCAGTCTTGGTATTTTTTTCAACTCATATCTCAGTTGAGCTCAGTCGTCTCCCATCTGGCTCCCACTGCACTGATGGTTCTCTCTCTCTCTTTTGAGGATGTGGGCATCATTCGAATCCGTCATTTCTTTGGGATGAGCATACAAGAGATACCTTCAGTGGTTTTTATCTCCAGAGATCCATCTCTTCATGGATGCCTTGCTTCAGGGATGTGGTGCATATCTCAATGGTCTGGAATTCCAAGGCCTATGGACAGATGATGAGGCTTCCATACACATCAGTGTTTTAGAACTTCTTGCTGTTAAAAGGGCAATGTCTCACAGTGTGGACTTATTAAGGAGAAAATCATCAGGCTTCACTGTGATAATTCAAATCCACAGAGGTGTCTTACATTTCCTGTCAAGGGGCACTTGGTCCAGGTCTCTTTGTTTTCAAACCTTGAATCTTCTTTCTTGGGACCACTCTTATCATATCACCCTACTTGTATGCCATGTTTCAGGAATGATGAATTCGGTGGCAAATCAATTTTCTCGACCCAAACAGATTCTCCTGACAGAATGGATGCTGTATTATGAGGTTTTCTGTTGGACTTGCTCTCAGTTCAGAACATGGATGATTGATGTGTTGGCCACTCGTTGGAACAACTAACAATCGGCATTTTCATTTCTGATACCTCACTCTCGGGCATTGGCAATAGATGCATTCAGTCAGGATGGGATGGAATTATACCTGTAGGCCTTCCCACTGTCTTGTATGTTACCGAAGGTACTAGCTATGATTTGTTCCAACCCATTGTCGGGTCCTGTTGGTAACACCGAATTGGTGGCTAAACCCTAGTTTCTGCTTTTACAGTACTTTGAAGAGTGCCCACCTCTTCCACTTTCCCTTTGGCCAAATCTGTTGAGGCAGCCACAATCCAAAATCGTACACCCAGCATCCTGAAGCTCAAGCTTCATGCATGGAGGTTATGCGATCCTTCACATGGCATCAGGGTTTAACTACTAATGTTGCCATATATCTGTCTCAGTTTTTGCATAGACCCACGATAGACATTTATCAACAGAAATGGCACTTATATCGGCAATGGTGTATTGAGGGTAGATTAAATCCACTTCAACCACAAGTGCCAACATAACTCGTTTTTGACCTGGCTCTTTGACAACGGTTTTGCATCTTCCACAATCGCCTTATATAAGGCAGCCTTATCGACTACCTTTAGATACTTGAGATGAAAATTATTTGAGTCCCCATTGTTCTCTGGCCTACTCAAGTCATTTCAGGTCCTTCGTCTCAAATGATCGTTTCAGTTATCTAACTGGGATATTACGGTAGTATTACATGCTCTTTCTCAACATCAATTTGAGACTTTAGCATCATGTACCATTTCACCGTCTACTGAAAATAAGATTGTGTGGATTACTGCAATTGTTTTATTTTCAGTTTTTTGCTTTGTCAAGCTTTTACTGTCACAATGTGATAATCTTACATAGCTATAGTCCACTGTAGGGTTCTGTAAAACTCCTTGAATTACAGTTGTAAGAAATACAGTTTGTACATCATTAATATAAGGATATGGTCAAAAATTTCAGTCAGTTTGAATTAGCCATCTTGAAGGAATAAAGAGTATACAGTAGTTTCCAAGTAGTTCATTGGTAACAGACCAGTATAAAGTTAAAGAAAAAATACTTTCTTAAATACCACTTAGGTACTTACTGATCCAATGGTTTTGTTAGAATATTATTGGTTTGTGTTAATAAGTATGTTACATCTAATACTATGCAAAGATAACTTACTATTGTTCCAAAAATAACAAAAATATACTACAAATATATAATACAATAAATTTTACTAATACAGCATTGAGCTATACATATCTGATATGTTTGCATTCACAGTTGAATTGTACCTGTGCCAGTTTAAGTAATAGTTTACAGTATAATAGTATAATTTTGTTTGAAAATTGTATTTTCATTACAAAATAAATCTTGAAACCTATGGCCAGTTTTTTGTTTAGAAATATGTTTAATCTTTTCAAGACATCTTAGGAACTGAGCATTTGTAGGCCATCAGAGATTTCACAGTGTTTATAATGGCAAGCCATATGTTGTTATATATTATTATGAAAATAATGAAGCATATTAGAATATCAACTACAATTAATCCATGCACTGATATACATAACATGTTTATATGTACAGAGAAGCAAAGGAAAAGCTTTGACAAAGTTTATTTCTTAAGTCATAATTAGCTTTATTGTGTGAGGTATTATAAATGAATTGGAAATGAAAAATATTGAAGATTAATGCTTGTAACTAATTACGAAATAATTCTGACTGTCTCGTTAAAACATTTTGGTTTAATTTCTAACCTTTTTTCTCTTTTCAAGCAACACATAATAGTTTTAGATTAAGAAGAAAAACATTTATTTTTATGAG